AAATCCCCTTCTGATTTTAAACATTTATTAAAGAGAAAATTCGCAAGTGAATATGCAAGATTGTTTCTTCGAAGCAAGTAAGCCTCTGTTTGAAGCAATTAGTGTACTGAATGTATCAGACACTAAAAGTAGTACTTAGTAATTAGAGATAGCCTGTGAGCATCCTAGACCTACACTTCATGAGAGGTGAAACTCATTAGCATGATTTATCTGCTATACCAAACTGCGAAGCTAGGTGATGAAGGTTCGAATCTCAAAGAGAGCATCAGCTATCTTGAAATTATGATTGCACACTGCTGACGAGTTCTAGGTAGTATGAAGTAAAAGTCCAAGATCACTAGTCGACTACCTACAATTGCCAACTTACGTCTTAACATATGTCAATGTCGAGTCATTTAAAGTAATGACCACATTTCAACTTGACCGGTAGAACTCAATCAGTACTACAAAGTACTAAGCAATTATAAGACTGGTGACTACTCACTTATCAATCGGTTGTATCCAAGTATATTCAATTGCTATTACATGGTTAATTATAATTGCCAACCAAAAATATCAGAATGTCACTGTCGAAATGCCAAATACAGCTTCTTATCTTAATACCGTCTGATATTTAACAGTTCACTTATATTAAACAGGATAGCTATAAAAGCCTTTTACTAACCAGAAGTTTTAATGGACTTGTAAATTTTGATTGGCTTTCAACATGGAGTCAAGGGAAAACAAGACATTAAATATGCTCAGTGTAAACGGTTTGGTTATACTATTTGAGAATATTGTTTCACATCTATAATTGATTGAACTGATCAATCAAAAATAGGGGTGAGATTAATCATAAGTAGTAAATATGTCTTTTTCATAGATGAATAACAATAAAATAATGATTTTCATTTGAAAGATATTAGATTGTAATTAGATTTGTATAGTTTGTTAGTTATCATAAATAGCAAGCAACTAGCTCTAAAACACGAAGACCTTGGCCTCGGTCTTTAGTGGGGTTATGGGTGAGTATTACTGAAGAGTCCCATGATATGATGAAAGAGCTTTCAGACAGCTGTTTCATGATTTTCAGTGGTTATTAATGTAACATAAGTCCATGATGTAAACTATTATCTGAAGAAAATTGATCACAATGCATAATCTCAAAAACATCCCTGATCGTATTACGTGGTATGAGAATGTTATGGTGTAATGATGTTATTTAATCTATGATTAGTCGTCCAAAATAATAAGCACACACAAAAATCAATAACTATTACGTAGTTCTACTCTATTTATAAGTCCTGTTAACAGCAAAATCTTTTTGAATAATTAATTTTATGGTAAACTACTAATCCTTAAAGTTAAATTAATAACCAAGATAAGTCAACTTAATAAGTTAAATCCACCTTAATTTGTAACATTAATTCATCTAACAAGAGGTTGATGTAATGTTCTTAGAATTCAGAAAGTTCAGTTGGACTTTACAGACTTACGTCACTTATGACTTAGGCAAGATATTTGTTTGGCAACTAAAGGAAGAGTTTACTATGATGCAGTTCACTCTACTCTACCGTATGGGCGTGAAACACGGCGTTTAAAAATAGAGAATATTTCTGGGTTATTAGCATTCAACTTCAGATTTCTGCAGACTGTATCTCTTGTATTTTTAGACCACTGAGTAAGCAGTGCAGAGGTCACGGATAAGGTTTCAGGCAAGCAAGGGATTTCAATTGACGGAGTAGTGAATCTTTACCGACTGGGACATTTATTGCTCATTCCCATCAACTAAATACTCCGATATGCGATAATGGCTTATGTAGGAGTAGGTTAGAAGAAGGATGGAGGTGGCCCAACCAAGACATGATATCAGTTCATGAAGATATTGACTGTTAGATTGACCAAATGTTGGTAACCCTAGACTACCTTGTCGGGATTCGGGTATTTATCGTAAACGATTATTAGAGAGATTGAATGACATGGCTGATAACCGTTTGCAATGAAGCGCGTGCATCCATTATTTGTGTTCCCCGAAAACCCTGAGATTCTAAATTTCCCATAATTCCTTTTTGTTTCTGCTTCTCGAATTTGTATTTTCTTTTTGGGTAGTATATTGGATGCTTAATCTCTTCCACTACCACTGATACTATTACTATCTCTACTATTTTGGGATTCGTCCTGAAATTTCATCTTGGTGTGCTTATGGGGTCAGACAACTTGAACCGATGTACATACGTATAGGTTGTCTCTTTGTGACTGGCTGACCATCTAAATTCAATGGTTCATCAGGTAACATGACAATGTTTGAACCAAAGATATCGATCACGAATCCTAATGTGACCATCAACACTCAGAACCTAAGTATCTCAGTTACATAAATATTTTTTCTATCTCACTAATTTACATTTTCTTCGCCAATCGTATCTTGAATAGCCAATTTTTCCTATAGCCACTGATTTTTAATACTACCTGTATTACTCTGGGATTTTCTCTGACAATTTTGATTCGTTGTGCTGATGGAACACAGCAGTTTAATCTGTTGTACACATATGCCAGGTTCTACTTTGCGTCAGACTGACTGACTGACTAGAAACTAATTACTTTATTCAAATAGTTACAAACTACTTATTCCATTCAGAAGTAGTAGTTTTTCTACTTATCAGTTGTATTTTTTATCAAATTATCTTTCACTGATATTAGTTGTCACTGAAATTGCACAAGAGATTTATGTCTCTTCCCTGCATAATTTTTGGCAACCTTAATCATAACAAAAATAATAATAAAAGTAATGATCAGAGCAACGAACGTCATATGTGATTAGATAAGTATCTCCTTGTCTTTTTTTCTTCTCCGACTATATCAGTTTATTTGAACAGCATTAAGGTAACACTGTCTGTTAGCTGTCATGATGATAGTGGATTCGCTTCATTTCACTTGATCTGCATCGAAATTCCAGATAAAAGGGGGAGCAGATATGCTTCTAATAGGATATAACAAGGGGGAAATGATCAAATTAATATTATCATTATTACCATCACCAACATTACTATCGGTAACAACAACTATAATGTTATTCAAAATAAAACAACTCACTTGTTTTTTTATCTTTTATGCGATGCTTTCTCTTCCTGTCAAGTTTCGCCTTCTCACTCACTCACTCACTCACTCACTCACTCACTCACTCACTCACTCACTACGTCACTTGCTCTCCATCTCTCATTCTCTACTTACTCATCCTTAGCCAACATACGCCTAGCTTCATTCACCGTATGTTGCTCAACTGGGATACATAATGGTATTTTGAGAATAGAATGAGTTTTTTTCACGCAAAACAGAAAAAAATATTGAACTCAGCATGAATAACAATAATAAACAAGAAAATGATAGATGAATAAGTGCGTCCTGGCAGCAGCGACAAAGATAAAAAGATTTAAATTAAAATCTGTGTGTGTATTTTTGTTCATTAGCTTCTTTTTACTATGCTGTCTGAAAATGTGTGGTAATAATCACCATAAGGTTTTTTTTTAAAGGGGAATAATAACGATTGACATTAAAAGCAACTATAATTTTCTTTAACTCAATAAATAAATTTTAAGGGTATCAGTATGTGAGGCAGTTACCCACCGAAGACTATGGGAGGTGATCGCACAATATCGTGAATCGGTGGATGTTAGATATTAACACCATCGAACTAAGGCTCAGTGGTCTAGAGGTTAAGCGTCTTCATGCAAGACCGAAGGTCCTGGGTACGAATCCTGAGAGCAGGATTGTGGACACACTGCCGAGGTGTCCCATACTGTGGCGAAATGGTTGTCCAGTATATCCAGGTTTACAATGGTGGCCTAGCTTAGATCGAATCGTGAATACAACTTTGAAAGTACTACACTCTCCACAAATCCCCATACTGAATGTTATGTAACAACAACGGAAAACACTAATAGCTTATCGTATATGAATAAGTATGCAAACATGTGTGCGTGTGCGTGCAATTTGTCGGACCAATTTTGTTTGCTTCTTTCTAGAATCTGTAAACAGACTTCAGTCTTTAGTAATAAGGATAGTGGGTTGGTATATTTGTGTTAATTTTCAAGATATATGTGTTCTTAGCGAAGGCCCAGTTTCTCTTAAAAAGTGTATCATTTATTAGTCGATACGGCGTTCCAGCCGTCGAATATTCGACAAAATATACTTCAGTAATTATTAATTTCTATCTTCCCTTTTGAAATGTGGCCATTAGTCTGGGTGGCTAAATATAACAGTACTCTTTGTTTGACCCTAGTTTGATAGATGCACTAATAAGACACGGTTAAATTAGATATGAAACGACACACGTTTAAGTATTATGATCCTATAACCAGAGGTTGAATAACAACCTAATAGATCAGCGCTTAGGATTAAAAAATGCGATATTAATTACTAACAGGTGATCAGTTAATGCGAAAACACCTTAGCACTACGGGATTTAACAGTAAACTACATGAAATTCAAATTCGAATCATCTGAATGATTTCTGATATGTTCAAATTCTTCACTTGAACCATAATGCATTTGTTGTATGGAGAAAAATATAATGAAACAAACAAATGACTGATAAGGATTCATCATTACTCCTCATTAAGAGAAGGATAAAGATAATGGTTATATTAAGTATGTTTGTGAGCTCGACAAATAAAGCTGTACATTTTTATGATTATTTAGAAGCGATCATCTAATACTCCGAAATTGGGAACCGAACCCATGACTTTCGGTCTTGACCTCAAATGTTTAGCCACCATGCCATTAAGTCGGCATGCAACAGTCTTAATGTCTAACCTTAATAATATATGGTTTTGACTATTTACACTTTGATTCAACAAACAGAAAGCCAAATCAATATTCTATCAACAAAATGAGTAAAATTTATTGATAAATTGTTTGCTGACAATTCATGGGAAGCAACGGTTAGGTTTGTTTTCATTCAATACAGTTTAATGTGGTTAGATATTTTAGTTCTATCAACTTTTCGTCTCTTTTTTTTAAAGGTAAACCTATTCAATGCTGGATTCCACAAGAGTTTACACGTGGTTGGGAAGAATATGCTGAGAATTATTGTTGGGTATCTAATACATATTTTGCTCCATTACAACACAGTTTACCTCCAGCACCGGATAGAGAAATGTTACTTATTGGTTACTATCAATGGGCACCAATTGTAATGGCTATACAAGCTATGCTATTTTATTTACCATGTCTTATATGGCGTTTATTTATGGCTCAGTCAGGTTTCAACGTTAGACGTATTCTACAAATGTCATGTGATTCTAATGTTCTACTACCAGAGCATACAATGAAAAATGTACGTTTTATAGCTCGTTATATGGAAGGTTGTATTTATAGACAAAGAGATTATAGGAAAAGAAAATTATCATCAGTTTTAGGATTTTCTCCTACAAGTTACACTGGTCTTGGACAATCACCTCATATACATGTTCATCAACATTATTCACCCTCTTATCCTCCTCCTCCTCATCAACAACAACAACACTCACATCTGCACCATCCCCCTCCACCACCACCACCTCATTCACATACTCAATCACCACCATATATGCCTACAAGTCATTTTCATCAACAATTAACAACAGTTAATTCAAGACAATCACCTATAGGAGGTGATGAAAGTCGTTATAGTAATGATCATCAAATAGAATCCACATTGATTACATCACCACGTCGTGGTTCTAATACATCATTATTCGATAAAATTAGACATAGTTTCTCTCTCGATGATAATAATAAAAAACATAAAAAACGTTTACCATCTGTTACAGAAGAAGCTAATACATTAGTTACAACAATGGAAACATTAAATTCTAGAAATAATAATGATTATCATCCAATGCTTGGACGTTTAAAACTTGATGATAGTCATACACAACAAAATATAACAACCAATTTGAATACAACAAATTCATATCGTTCTATTCATACATTATCACCAACCTTATATAAATCACAAGAGAAATCATCATTACATAAGAAACAACATTTACATTATTGTTGTACATGTATTTGTGGTAAACGTCAGGGAAATTTTTTAGTACTCTTATATTTTTTCACTAAATTCTTATATTTAATTAATATTATTGGACAATTATTTATGATGGAAAAATTTGTTGGTAATGATAGTACATTTTATGGATTTCGTGTATTATATGATTTATTAAAAGGACGTGAATGGTTTCATTCGGGTAATTTTCCAAGAGTAACATTTTGTGATTTTGAAGCTAAAAAACTTGGAAAAAATCATAAGTAAGTTGATATTTTTAAAAAAATTTTTTACTTTAAACATTCTATTAATTTGTAAGCAAAGATGGATAGTGGCTAGCAGTGGAATCCAGGAGGCGCGTTTCGTCCTATTTGGGACTCGCCAGATGGATGTACCTGTATCTCAGATTTGATGTTCACTCTGGGACTCGAACCCAGTAACTTTCGCTTCAAACGCCATAGCGTTATCCACTCGGCCACTGAGTCCTGATAGCCACTTGCTTGTGCGATGGGGTGAATTTTAAATTCATTTAGTATTGTTTTTTTCCAGCCACTATCCATCTTTGCTTACAATGCTTGTGAATTAAGCCTATATCAAACAAACAATACTAAATGAATATTAATTTCTTGTATAGTGAACAACAAAACCAGGTGAGGAAGATCAAATTATTGTTTTTGATGGAGTTTTGTTCTCTGAGCTGGATGAATTGATCGTGCAGCTTTCATCGTTCGTCTGAACGACATCATCAGCACAAACTTTGCGTAGAAGTGGGAGATACAATCAAAACAAAGAAATAAACAATGACAGATTTAAGGTCAACAAGAATCAATCAACATTGAGGTGTATAAGACAAACGGTAAACCACATGTGGAGAAATTCGAGCACTTCATTTCTATCCGAAGTTTGTGCTGATGATGTCGTTCAGAAGGTCGATGAAAGCTCTACGACCAAACCATCCAGCTCAGAGAAAAAACTACATCAAAATCATCCACCTGAGCTACAAATCTTTTCCACCATTTCTGCTACGTTTAATATTATTCTCCATTTTTTAGATAAAATTTTTCTGGTAGTTATTTATTTTAAGGATTTCGGAAGTGAAATTTATTTTATTCGTCAAATTCTTAATCAGGTTGCCTACCAATATTTAATTTTATTGTAATTTATCATTATATATCTATCCAGATAATAGATTTATGAAATATTGTGGTGTACACTACATATACAGATATACATATGTAGTATATAGCAGGGATCGCAAGTAGAAAGCTTAATAGAAAATGAGTGAAATAAAGAGAAGAGAAAGGAAAACATAGGGCAATCGAAATAGGAACAGAACTAGAAGAATTATGAAGTATGTATAGGATAACTGAAGGAAGATAACTAAACAATATACTGAATGTATGATTTTACATAAACTATGCTCAGACAACAAAACTCTATCAAAATCATCCACCTGAGTTACAAATTTTCTCCACCATATCAATTTATTGTTTAATGCAAAATCACAGAGTGCTATCATAAAATATAAAAATCATACATTAAATAGATGATCTGCCCATCTATATACCTCATGATTCTTTTAATTATGTTGTCATTATAGTTATTTTCTTTTTAGATTCCTGTTCTTTTCAATTTGATTTTCTCAGTCATCTGTTGTCAGGGATTCTACTTCTGATTGGTGTTACACACTACTTATATCTGTCAAGATAAGTAGTATACACTACAGTTGTATATCTACAGTAAATGAAAATTGTATTTCATTAGGCTCGATTAAATAGCTTGAAACAGTAATATTTTTTAAGCACCGTTAGATTATTTAGATTTATTTATGGTGGGGTTAAAATCATGAAATTTTAATTGATTCTTTGATTTAATCATTTTTTATAGAAGGAGTTTTGTGGAGATTTAGTATTTATTATAGTTGAAAGCGTGAGTGAATTGAAGCTAGACCACCATGGAAAACCTCGAAATACTGGACGGCTGTTTCGTCCTAGTGACTTCGAGAAGTATATCTATGAGCTCTAGTGAGAGGCAGTGACCAGTGGAGTTCAAAACCACGTCTGTTGTGAGATAGGAACTCACTGAAGACAAGTGGTGAATGGTTGCTCAACTTCGTGGATCAGTTGAAGCTAGACATTAACACCGTTGGACGCCAGCTCAGTGGTCTATCGGTTAAGGGCTTCGGCTCGAAACTGGTAGGTCCTGGGTTCGAATCTCGCTCGCGAGAGTGGATTCGTGGATGCGCACTGCTGAGGAGTCCCATAATAGGACGAAGCGGCCGTCCAGTGTTTCCAGGTTTTCGATGGTGGTCTAGCTTCAATTGACCCACGCTTTCAACTATAATCATCTTTTGTTAAAATGGAACGAAAGTGAAGTAAATTTCCGTAATGAAATGTCTGTATAGTGTTTGACAAATGATATATATATATATACATATATGTTTTCATTGGTGGACTGGTGATTATTACGTAATTAAGGACTTTAATTTGTAGTGGTTGAATAATCTATACTCATTTGGTTCCTTACAGATTAGTCACAACAGAAATATTGCAGTTAGAATCTACATAATGATGAATAGAAATATGGAAACAGATAAACGAATGTAAATTTATATGACACCAAAATGATTTATTAAAAGTTCTATTTTAGAATATTAATTTTTATAAAATCCTCTTTATTTTTGACCGCTGGTTAGATCTTGAACAAAATTTCACTAATTTTTATTCATCACTAACTTATTTATATGCAGTTGAAGTAAATTTCATCTCGAAAAAGATGAACAGTTACACCGACAAAACCGTATTTAGCTATAGCTGTTAATATTTACTGTTTATACATTTAAAAGGTCGACTCGATATAAACATCTAATTTAATGATACTTATTTAAAAAAATAAACTTTTCTAATGTTCTTAACTGTTAGTTTTCCTGGGTGAAAACCATTTTGACATCAGTGTCTAGTACGTGTACATTTAAAAGTAAGATGGTGAATCAACAAACTAAAGAATCTGGTTTTTGGTTTTTTTCTTCAATTAATTCTTTTTCGTATTATTATTGGTTAAATGGAATTCGAACAATGATGCATTTTCATATCTTACAGCACTAAGCACAGTTACTTTACGAAATTAATCCCAATGAATTTAAAAGAAAACATTCTAGATTGAATAATTTCATGCATACAACTAAAGTAATATAAGTAAGATGTATTCTGTTCTGGAAAAAGTAATTGGAACCATAAACTGATCTCCGTTAGAAAACCATTAGAAACCAGGAAGAATTGGACGGCCATTCCGTCCTAAAGTGGGACTTCTCAGCAAAGTACATGTATGAATAGCTTCCAGAATAAACTTCCGAATTTCAAATGAGCAGCCGTGATCAGTGGAGTTAATCCTTGTTGAGTTTGAGGCAGTTACCCACTGAAAGCAATGGAAGATGGTTGTGCAATATTGTGGGTCGGATGAATTCAGAAATTTACACCATGGGATCCCGACTTGGCTATCTGGAGGGCAGGCGTTCGCACGCGAGACCAAAGTTCCTAGTTTCAGATTGCGTATGGGATCGTGGACGAAGACCACTGAGTTGTTCAACGATAAGACGAAACGCCCATTCAGTACTTCTAGGTTTTCAACAGCTGACTAACTTTGATCGGTTCAGGATTTCAAATAAATTTAACAATCTTCACAATTCTTTACCAAGTAAAATGGTTTGATAAAATACAAAATTAAGTTGACGAAGTTTTGTAGAAATTCGTCTACATTGTAAGTTTCATTTTTCACAGACTGATTTTCCTCAGTGTACCAGTGGAGAGCACTGAAGAGTTTTTTTCGCCCCGGTATAGGACCTCTCAGTGGTGTACAGTCACGAACTCACCAGGGTTTGAACCCATTACATTCAAGATTACCGGAACCAGAATGAACTTCTATCAAAAACGGTTTACATAAACCGGTATCTAATCAAATCACATATAATTTTATATTACTATCAATAAACTTCCAGTCTACAATACCAAAGTAGATTTTAACTGAGACTTTTTCATCATAAATCGCCTTGAAATAATTCACCAGTTGTCATAAAACTGATTACATAAAAAGAAAACTTTAAATAATAAAACTGTAAAATAAACGATTATTTAAATGATTATTTTAAGTTTGATCGTAATCAAATTCTGCGGTAATCTGTCTGTCTTTATGTTCATATGTGTGTGTGAAATGTCCGTAAAGTAGATTTTCAGAGTGAATTACAGCTATCCAATATATATATGTATATTTATAACTGAATGGGAAAAACAGCCGAATTAACTTACATACTTAAGTGAATTTGATAATTATAAGATAGAGGTTAAGATGATAGTGAACACAAGGAAATAAGTGTGCTCACTTCATGCATAAATACCAACCTGTAAGCAAACAGTCATATAGCCACCATGTATATTTCTTTTGCAAACCAGAAAAGAAATTCAGTTACATGAGTAATGACTGTGTATAACTTTTTATTCTTTTTTTCAATCATTATAAATTTAAATATATAATTTTATTATCATCCAGTTTAGCAATGTATATATGTATCCATGTGTATGTACGTATTTGTGTGTGTGTGTGTATCCATAGTCACGTCATAAAGAAAAATACATTCATACCCTTACATCCTACAGAACACACATAGAATTTAAGACTTATCTAAAACGACGCAAAACAAAAATTATTTTCTAGGGGGAAAAATAAATAAACGGTTTCCCTTTTTTTATTTAGTCGAATATTTAAATCAAAAATGAATTATGTGTCTGTTAGTAATACCACCTAGAATAAAAAAATATAATTTACACATTCAATTTTTTAATAACGATTAATGATGAAAAATATTTTGAAAAAAAATTTGAAACTCATTGTTTATTTCTACACTGAGAATATTGATCAGGAAGGGGTTTTGTGTAGATTTGAGTATATTTATATTTGAAATGATGAGTGAATTGAAGCTAGAACACCATAAAAAAACCTGGAAGCACTGGACGGCCGTTTCGTTTTACTATGGGACTCCTCAGCAGTGCACATCCACGATCCCGTCTCGTGAGGTTCGAACCCAGGTAGGTGCTCTGGCGCGAGACTGGTAGGTCCTGAGTGACTGTTTCGAATCCTGAAGTCAGTGGATTAAATGTATTGGGGGTTGTGGGTGCACATTGCTGAAGAGTTCCATTCTAGTCACAAAATGTCTGTTCAGTGCTTTCCGGTCTATCGCCCTTCCCTTACTGATGTCAGATTTTGTGGACAA